AGTCTTCAGCCTGGATTTAAAAGTAGTCAGAGTTGCAGCGGACCTGCAGGTTTCTGGGAGTTTGTTCCAGATATTTGGAGCATAATAACTGAACGCTGCTTCTCCATGTTTAGTTCTGACTCTGGGGACAGAAAGCTGACCAGTCCCTGAAGACCTGAGAGATCTGGATGGTTCATCATTTAGCAGGAGGTCAGAAATGTATTTTGGGCCCCAAACCATTCAGTGCTTTATAAACCAGCAGCAGTATTTAGAAATCTATTCTTTGACACACAGGAAGCCAGTGTAAAGACTTCAGAACAGGAGTGATGTGATCCACTTTCTTAGTGTTAGTGAGGACTCGAGCAGCAGGACTAAGTAAATAACATTGAAAAGCATACAGAACCAGAGTAAATAAGTTAAATGTTACAACTTTATGCTTCATTCAAACTTGTCACAGTACTGGTAAGCCTTTCTAGCGTATGATTAGTTTCAACTTTGTTGACTCATTATGCTGTAGCCTATGTAGCATGAAAGAATAGTGGAATTGGCAAGCTAGCTAATTACCTAGCGGGTTATTTAGCTAGTTTGCTAATTTCGATTTCCTGCCACTCTGAACTATGACAAGCTACAACTAAAGCTACACTATCACATAATTTATTTACTTGTCAAACGACCAAAGAAAACCTTTAAATGTTCCTTATCTCTTTGCTAAAATTATGGACATGTCAAAAATCACACCTTTAAATGAGAAGCATTTTAGCTTTTGTAATGGTAGCCGGTTAGCATGCTAACATTAGCATTAATCTCAGAACCATGCTGTTCTTCAGTACAGCCTCGCAGAGCAAATACCATTCCTGTAGACCCTCATTCATGTTGAATCTATATATTTGATTATGCCTCTGGTCGATCAGGCCAACCTTTGTAATCCCCATGTGCACTGAGGGATAACTACCTGTCAAAATAAAAACCAACTCTAGCATCCATCAAATAAAACCTTACTTTTTGTCAAAGTCAAAACCAAACAACAGATGTGTCGAATAATGCAATGCCAGCAAACATGATGGTGTTAAACACATTTACCCATCTCAGCATTTGTTTGGATGATGCCACATTGATATCTTTCGGTATACATTTGGGATCCCTGGGCTATATACATATAGTTGCTCACCTGTTTATACATCTGGGTTCTGTTTTCCATGATAAGAGTAGTCGGCAGCAACTCACGGCTAATTCAACTAAAACAAAAACTCAAAACAAAAGTGATGTCCTTTTCATCTTTCCTTGCCAGCTTAGCGACACTGATAATTTGTTACTAATAAAGCCCAGCTGGGTCTGCAGCAGTCGTGTGTATCAGAAAGCGTTGTCTGCAATATCAAAGATCCAACTTTGTGAGGGCAATATAACTATATAAAAGTCAAAGCTGACATTTTGCTGAAAGACATCAATAATGAAACTCAGCAAGATAAGGGTCAATTGTTGTTTGAAATTCAGCAGCTAAACAAAGAGGTCAGAGATTAGTTGTATTTCTGGTGTTATCTTTAGCCACCCCCCTGTTGTGAGCTGTCAGACTGTTTCTCATTATCCAAACTTCCTGTTTGCTATCAGACTGACATTGACTACTTGATGTGTCTGTCCTTGTTTCATGTAGTTAGATCATTTGTGTGAATAAACAAGTGACGTGCATACTTTCAAATGTGCATTTTACATCAATCAACATGCATAATTCAGTACGTCACATTTGCTCATGTGGCATACAATTATAAATGCATGTGTAGTCAGAGTACAGATGGCTTTGCTTTTCTGGTGTGGATGAAGCTATTTGTTAAAACTTTACTTGACATCTTTTGGGACTCTGCACGCAGGGCGCATTCACACCGCAGTACTTTTCCCACAAAGGTTCATGAGAACTTAGTTCATGAGAACTCTTTAGTTCTCATGAACTAAGCACGGATCGCGTTCACACCGGAATAAGTCCCTGGGGGAGGATTAGGCAAATGAAGCCGCTGACGTCACTTCTTCTTCTTCTGCTTTGGGTTTACTGGCAGGCCGCAAATCACTTCACGGCGTATACTGCCACCCGAAGTCCCCGGCCGGAAGTCCCGGAGTTGGGGACTGGCTTCAGTAGAAGCTGCTGGGACTCCCAGCAGCTTCTACTGAAGCCTTCCGAGTAAATCGCCAGAACGCCGACACCTCCTCATCTCCACCGCTCCCATGTTTTATTTTGTGTTGCCATAAGTTAGTCTCTCTGCGTTTGTGCGCTGGGCTAATGCTAATGCTAATAATGCTAATGCAAGGTTAATAAAATGGCGGCTTCACAAAACGTTTTGGGAGTTTTACAGGGCGTGGTTTGCAATCCTTCCAGCCAATCAGACATACGAATGAAGCGAAAGTTCCTGCTCTCTAGCAGGGACGGAAAAGGGGGTAAAAAGGTTTTTTGGGTGTGAACGCAACATTTTGTGTATCAGAACTAAAGTGGGAAAAGTACTGCGGTGTGAACGCGCCTATTCAGTACATTATTTATTTGTAATCACTGTATGATCACTGTATGAATCATTGTATGAATCATTGTAAGCTCAATTGATTCCACATGTATGTGTTTTTAGAAAAATACATCGTACCTGAAAAACCATAATGTACACAACTTGGAAGATTTATTTAAATAGTTAACAAGTGCATGTATTCTCTCATTCACCTTTGACGCACAAAGAAACACACAAATCTGTGCACCATTTTGCTTCCTGTCAAGATTTCTGCTCTGACTCAATTTCGGGTCTTTGAAGTGTCACAGTGCAGTTGATGATCATCAGGGAACTGTCCTCATATCTCATTACTGACATTGTGAAGCAAGTGTGTTTGTGTGTGTGCATTTCTTCACATTCAGATATACCTTTTGAGAATTAATGTTGACAGCTTGTCATCTAATGTCACCCTGATTGTGTTTGAGTGGCCTGTCATAGTAGAAGTATACTTAGTATTGAGTGATGCATTGGGTTGTGCTCTGGTAAAATGTTGTCAATGTTATTTTAACATTTTGATGGCGTTATTTGATCGACAGTAGAATAAAACACATTATGAATATATATTTTTTTGTCAAGATGAAAGTAATTAAACTTACTTGTTCATTTGATATATATTTATGATTTTTGATAAGATAATAAGATAAGAGGTACTTTATTGATCTTAGATGACAAGTTAAAATCAGACTTCTTAAAATAATAAAAGCACAAAAGTTGCAAAAGTCAGAAATTAGTCATAACTTTTGAATTTCAACTTTGAATACAGAGTAGAGAAAAAAGGATTCAAATGTCTTTCCATGACAAGTTTTTTTAATCTTTTCTTTTTTATGTATTTATTTTGGAACAATTGTATTATATATTTATCCTTGTTGGGTTTTCCAATATGAAAGGTACACTTAGCCACATAACAGTGCAGCTCAAGTTTTTTGTATTATTCTTTTTTAGATGTTATGTCTTGTTATTTCTCAAGTTACAATAGACACACAAAACAGCTTATAATTTCTCAGAGTGAAACTGTCACCAAATTATTTCCCTCAAGATGTAAGTGGTGCTCAAATATGCACTATTCACCAAATCCAATATATTTTCAGTATACAATATTAGCAAGGCAACCCAATATTTTGAAGTCCATATTTAGTTAGTTTTCTCTCTATCAACAGTGTTGTTGTCAAAGTGCTGATGGTCATTGCTACAGTATCAGCTTGAGAGGAGATGATTAAGGTCTTACTCATTGATTAGTTGGGAAAGCACCATGTGCACCGTATCGTCTGCAATAGGATACAGTCTACTATATATATAGGCAATAACTAAATTAACAAATGTATGACACAAAACAAAATCACTTAAAAAATGTTTTTACAATTTAAATAGTTTTGCCTATTAGTTTTATTAAAATGTTTCAAATGAATTCCTTAAAACAAAAAGCAGTACGAGTGTTTTCAGATTTAACTCCAGTTGCAAAACAACCCACATCAGATGAGATGTCATCATATTGTCACTGAAATGGTGCTAAGACCTGATGGTTTAATGTAACACCTCCGTCTCTAAACCGAGCCCCACCCACTTCAAACCAGAAGGAACAAAATGAATTACAGAAGTCACTCATTTGATATACCCAAAACAATTTTGTCAGAAATAGTGTGTTTTTAGAATCTCCTTACATATTGTAAAATGATGAGTTATTGTTGCCTCTGTGCCCATGTCTCATTGAGCTTTGGGCCAAACAGGACACCTGTGTAGCTGCTCTTAATGCACCTCTCCCACACTGTGTCTATCTATCTGATATCTAGAATAGTGTATCCAGGGTTAAACATAAGGTTAATGTGTAGTTTGAGCTGCCAGGGTAATTAGAGCAGTTGGAATCGTATTGATCGACCTCTACTCTCAACCTTCTATTGAGTGCATAAAAAGGGAAGTGGAAGGGAGGGGGGAAATAAAGGGAGGCCGTGTGGGGTAATAAAGTGTACAAGGTTGCATGTGATTCTAGGCAGTGTTTTACCCAGAAAGGTGTTGCGTGTCAAAGCAATTGACCATTTAGTGCAGAACAATCCCCATCCACCGTTTAAGCTGCACTAGTCTTTTGTTAAATGTTAGCTGATGCAACCTTGGCATCAAGGCCTCAAGTCTCTTTGAGTTTTCTTCCAAGAGTTGGAATAGAGAAAAGACAAGACCAAAGATGAGAAAGAAAGTGTTTAGGGTGCCAAACACGGACTTAAGAACAAGTGAGGTGACATTGGCTTCTAATGCCAGCGGAGTAAAAGAGCCAGTCAGTGAATTGGCGTGCGTGTGGCCATGACTGCATATTAAACCTACAGAGTGAATGGGTGAACTTGGTAACCTTGATGCTCTGAAACTTTCTGTCCCTCTTTCACCCCTTCTTTGTATTGGAATTTCCTATGGACGTGTTTTGGTCATTTGACAGCTTGTTTTGTGTGTATTTTTCTCACAGTCGCTGTTTATGTCCCTTGACACCCCCCCCCCCCCCCCCCTTCTCCCCACCTCCAGGGAAGCTGGTGCAGAAAACTGGGGCACAGAAGGCTGCCAAACGCTCGCGTCAACCACTGTCCACACCAAATGCCTCTGCAGCAGGATATCCACCTACGCCGTGTTAGCGCAGCAAGCTAAAGACCCGGTGAGTCACCTATGCAAAGCCTGTTACTCTGTGGCACTCGGGGGGGCAAACAATGCTACTACCAGGGGCCAGGTCAGTAAGCGGTTGACTTGAGCGGTTGACTCTTCCATGTGATGGGAGAGAGACAAGGCGTCAACAGAAAAAGAAAGACATATTATTATGTCTGTGTGATTGTGCCGGCATGCAGCGCATAAACCTGTGCTTCTATAAATAGTTCACGTGGCTTGCAATGTGTGTTTGACATGATTTAAAGAAGGCTTTTTAGTAGTTCAGGGTAATGCCTGTTCTGATACATTGACCCATTCTCCTGTATTTATTTTGTGCTAATGGACATCCAAAGACCTGACAGCTCACCTTCCTCTCACAGCCTCCCTCTTCATCCAACAGACTCACATGAATTCATTGTAAAACATCCCACATAGTCACCTGTTTATTTCTGTTGTATACACACATAAACCAATTTAATATTAATAACCACTTTCTTGCTCGCTTGTTTTCCCTCTGATATATTTTCCATTGTTATTTGCAGTTTTCTCTTCCTCCTTTCATTAACCTTCTCTTCACCTTGTTAACACTTTCAGTTGTTATTCCTACTTATGCCTTTGACTGCTGTGGTCACAAAATGTTCCCTTGAGCTTTGGCTGTTCATTTCTCTCCATGTGTGCATGATACTAATACCAATGAGAATAGTGATTGCCTTAAATGATGAGAGTGTTATGGCCTCGCACGGCTTAGTACGGTATAGCTAGGCCTTGGTTGGCCAGGCTCACTTTATGCTGCGTTTCCATTACAGTTTAGGAACTGGGAAGTAACTATAGTAACGCAGTGTAGGTGGAGCCGTGACGTAATCTTGAATGCGAAACACAAAACCAACATCAGCCGTTAGCTCTTAGCACTCAGAGCTCACAGCTCCTCATATCTGTTCAGAAACTAGACAAAAGTTAAACAAGTACAAACCACAGACTGCCTGTGTCATGGCGAATACAGTCTCTGGTTTATTTATGTCTGTATAGGCCGTTGTTGTGAGTGTGGACGGTCGGAGCATATACAAGGTTAGCTTAGCCGATCTCCATTCAGAAAACACGCATTTTAAAAGGTTTTTCGCCTACCGTCTGTCTGCAGACTTGTCAAAGCATTAATTCATGGTTTTTACTAACCGGTATCAGTATGTTGTTACTTCGGCATCATTTTGAAACGTGTTTTACAATTAAATCACGGTCAAATATGTTCATCTTGTTGTAGTTGCCACTGCCAGCGATTCTCTCACTAGTTTAGCATACTCAGCCCGGTTGTTGACCCAGAAAGAACCTCGATTTTGGAGAGCCAGAAAAACTGTGAAAAAGTACCCACTAGCCGGAACTACCCCTGGTGGAAACGCAACCACAAACGGGCCGGGCACGGCACGCTTAATCCGCGCTGTAGTGGAAATGCGCCATTAGATGGTGTTTGGTAAAACTGTTGTTACACACTTGAATCTACGAGTAGTTTTTTGGAGGAGAATTTCTCTCTTTTTTAAGGGTGAAAAATTGGAGCCAGCTAAACAGATACCAAGTAAGCACAACAGGGTAACTTCAGGTGTCACAGAAATTGAAAGTGATGGGGAGGAATGGAGGATTTTGGGAAGGAAATGTTCAACCAAACAGAGAAGGCAGTCAGCTGTCAGGGAAAACGAAGAGAGAGAGAAGGGAAAAATGCACTTAGTAATAATGCATTAACAACCAGTGTAGCTAAAATAAAGAGCTGCGGGCTTATGTGGATATCTATCCCTGTGTAACCTTTAAGTGTAAAACATTGTCTCCATATAACACTCAGCGTCTTCCCCTTTCGCTGTTACATTACTGTGAAAAATGTCCTTATACGCTATGCATTAAATATGAAAATGGTCATGTAGTGGACTGGAGATTCTGAACATAGACACACAGTCACATGGTTAATCAAATGTCCCTATAGGTTTATGAATAGATAGGTTTTTAATTATTTCTGATTTAGTTTGATTAGTTCTGCTGGTTAGATAGCTGTAATACTACGATACCCATGAATGTTAGCTGCCGTTGCTATGGTGAAGAAGTCTGTCTTCACTGAAGCAAATCTAAAACTTAATTATTGCAGTTGCCGACAAAACATGGTGTAATAGTTGCCAATGTTCATTTAAGCTCCAGATGTCATAACCTTTAGCTTCTGATTTGTGCACATGACAGAAATTATAGCTTCAAATATGGATATTTCGCACTAGAAATGCACTGTAAGATTCATTGTTATTTGAAACATTTATATTTGTATTGGCATATACAGCTTTATCAAAGATCCTGACAGTAATTTAAAACCTCAGAAATAGGAATGGACATTTGTCGGAATAAATAGTGGATACTTGCTGTGTCAAATAAGTTGGTATATTGCAACAACAAGAGGTTACACTTTATGGTTGGATCCAAGTGACAGCTGCTTGAATGTTCATTTGGGTGGATTAAGTCATTTAAGCCATCCAAATGTGGATTTGCTTGTGCTCTTTCTGTTAAGTGTTTTTGAGTTCCTTTTTGAAGCACTATAAAACTTGATTATTATTATTAAGTATGTTGCTGAAAAGTGTTGAATATACTTTTTAGCTTGATGATATAAACCTCCAATATTCAGATGGCATGTAAGTCTAGCGATCTGTACACTATGTTGTACAAAGCATTTCCCCTACCTTTTTATTAAGTGTAAAGAGGGTCAAAACAAGGTGATGGCCTTCAGGTGGGTAAATGTGGTTATTCATTATTCTGTCCCTCAAAGCCTGAATTACTTCACAGGGACCTGCAACCTATTACAAAGCTCGGGGAACCTTAATTCCCATTAAATGGAATAAAACAAAGGTTGCGACCTATAAGCTGAGTGGGTGGTTCCAGTCGCTATTTCTTGTTCCTGTAACTCCTCTTTAAAAATGAACAGTATTGACTTGTGCTGTTTCCACAGCAAGCAGGCCGAGCCGTGTTTAGTGAAAGAGGGCTGGGAGGGAAAGCACATTGACATTTGTGATATCTGTGAAGAGTATGCCATTAGTGATTCACCATGCAGCCCCTCAGTTCCACCATTAGACCAAGTGCTGAGGACCGGAAGGTATGGGTCAGTGTGCTTGTGCCCGTGGCTCTCAGGCAGGAGTTGTTGTGGCCAGCACTGAGTGCACTTTGTTGCTTAGGGTCCTCTAGAGTTAGCTTTTATTCCAGCGGAGATTGGATATTATAAAAGAGGAGAGAGAGACTGATTGAATTTGGCAAAACGTGAAAAACCAGCCTCATCCAGACATGCACGCACAGACATCTAGGTATATATGTTTGTACGTTAATTCGCCCTCGCACACACAAGCGTGCGTGCACACACAAAAAATGTCACGCAGACACTCAAACACACACTCGGATGTGCTGTGTCCAGGCTGTGTGGCTGTTAGAGGAGAGCTGAGTATCAGCAGCCCAGCTCTGACAGCTTATCCTGGGCCACAGCGCTGGAGACAGGAGGGGGTTGAGGATTAACCTCCATGTTTAATAGAAAAGGGAGGGAGGGGGGGGAGAAAGAGATGGAGGGATTTAGAAGCAGTGCTGCCATTACAGGCCGTTTACAGTGGAGCAAGGAATAGCCAGCTAATCCTGTTTACTTTTTATAGCCTCTGAGATTTCTCTGTTTGTGTATGTATGTGTGTGTCTATGGAGAGACCTTTACTATCAGACACAAGGCAGAGGTTGTTACTTTAGAGAGAGAGGGGGGAGAGAAAGGAGAGTTGATTGAGGGAGATCATGGAGCCATACAATAAACCAAGCCACTTAATTCCCAGAATGACTGCAGAGGGAACACAAACCCTACGGAAATGTTTGGACTCATTGCCCCTGCAGCCCTCATTGGGGTCATGGGATTTGGAGTTGAAGGAGGTATTGGCTTTTTAAAAGTCAGCTTAACATTATGTGCCTCAAGTTAATCAAGTGAGTTACACCTCTTTGGTTCAGTTGTGTCAGCACATAGGGCTGCTGGGCTATTTGTTTTTGACATCGAAATTGAACATAGTTTTCTTGTGCCTCCCTTAAACATGTTAAGATATAGCAAAAGTGGGATTCATGGTTTGTGCTTGCCTAAGCAGGAAACCAGAAATTCAAACGAGAAGGTCAGTGGTTCAAACAGCACCTGAGACCTTGATGCAGTCAGTGTGGATGAGTACACAAACATACGGACACACATTGGCTAGAGGGAGAGTGAGTACCTTTTGCATAACTCATTTATAAGGAAATTACTGCATCAAAGCAGGAACAAAATGTGAAGTGATCTCTTCTTCTGCTGTTAAACATTTCTCACATCTTCTTGTACTGTACCTGCCGGGCTAACTGCTTTTGGTCCAATCATTCTCATGATTGGACCAAATGATTAGGTTTACTCTAGTCTGTTTCCTCCACTGTCATTAGCACTCACCGGCACCTAATCAGAATAAAAATATCTCCCAGCTGAGACTATCATTTAGAATTAATGGCTATTTTCTGATTTGACTGTGGAAGGACGAGGGCAATGATGGAAGCTACAGGTTGGCAGCTCATTTTCACTTATTATAACTTTACACGAAATGTCATTTAAAAAAAATAAGGCCTGCCTTAGATGAAGCCAGACTACAAGGTTACAGTATGCACATATCTTGCACATGTCAACTGTAATTAAAAGATGAGGGTTGCTCAAATGTTTGAGGGGACTGCATGGAATTGCATTAGAATCTGTGGCTCCCTCATCGCATTAATTGAAGGTTAGTTACTGGCAAGAGAGATGATAAACAGCTGAAATGATTTAGTGTTGTTTCTCTGGCTGGAGACGCACAATGGCTGAACGTAACAGATTTATTTTGTAATTCGATTGTTTAAAACTGATCAGAAGGTGTTGTTTTGGCTGTGGTGACCTTTTTGACACAGTATAGCTGTTTCCAAATATACACAGTTTTCTTGAGGTTACCTCAGTTAAAATGTTTTAAAGGTCACCTATTAAGCAAAATCTAC